GGGCTGGCTCAGGTAGTCCTGAACCATCCCTTAGTTATGCTGCTATAGGCCTAGACTGCCGGGGGATTTCCCATGATGCACTGAGCTCCTCTCTCCTCTACTTTCTCTCCCTCTGTATGCAACCTCATCCCATTATTGCATGTTACTAACACAACTTCTCCCCTTTCTGGTAGTCTTGTGCTTTCTCGTCTCTCTCCTCTTTCCTATCACTTCCTGCAGGTTTTCTGGCTCTGGAGCTGTGGAGTCTGGATCTGGGGTTGCGGGTCATCTGCTGCCCCCGTGTTCCTGCTCGACACCCTCTGCTGCAACGACTATTGTTGCTAGTCTTATTGTTATTATTGTTATTATAATCATTAACATTACGATTGTTACCATTAACACTATTATAAATATCTGTACCATTTTTCATTTAGTCTATAGCAACATCACCTTCACTGTCTGTACCTCTGTGTGTATATTGTGTAGGCTGCCTCCCTCCCCTCTCTCTCTCCTTACATCCCTCTCTCTCTCTCTCTCTCTCTCTCTCTCTCTCCTTCACCCCCAACCGGTCGAGGCAGATGGCCGCCCACCCCGAGCCATGGTTCTGCTCGAGGTTTCTGCCTCTTAAAAGGAAGTTTTTCCTTGCCTCTGTCGCCTAGTGCTTGCTCTTGGTGGGAACTGTTGGGCTTCTGTAAATAGCATCATAGAGTACGGTCTAGACCTGCTCTTTTATGAAAAGCGCTGTGAGATAACTGTTGTTGTGATTTGGTGCTATATAATAAAATTGAATTGAATTGAAATTGAATTACTGCAAACTATGCAGGGAGCATCTCCATCTCAGAGAGTAAATATTATTAAATCTGCATCAACAGACCTTTTGGTAGCGTTATGCGAAATAGCTTACAATGTTTTAAAAGGTAAAATTCCTTTAAATAAGACACAGTATCAAAACTTTAAAAAGAAGAAGGCGGGGATTAGACTTCTTGGCAATAAAAAGTTTGCACTTCAAAGAAAAAGAAGACGCTGCTTAAATAGTCTGGAGGTTTTCTTCTACCCCTCCTGAGTATCGCTGTGCCTTTTATAACGAGTCTTATTGCTCCAAGACAAACTTAGATAACTATGGAGTATGCACAAAAAATGTTTCTGGTACCTAAACAACAGCTTGATATTTTAAGAAGACCTCCGGCACACGAGTCTATTCGAGAAACTGTTGAAAATGACCTGGATCGTACTGTTAAAGACATTCTGGATCAAAAGACTGAAGATCTTCATAAAAAAGCAAAAAAATAACCATTGCAGAGATTTCTCACCATGGTAAAACAAGGAGAAAAAGACCAGAACACACTAAATTTGTCAATGCTCGCTGGAGGTCTCCTCGCTGAGGATTTTCACTCTTAAGAGCAGAAGAATCAAGAAGGAAGAGACTTTGTTTTTGAAGAAGTTTTAAAAAACATGCCAAAAAACAGCAGGAATAAAGCTCAGCATATTTTGGATAAAATGTCCTCCTCAAAAAACATATCTGTATGGACTGAACGTGGGGAGTTTGTGTTTAACGGTAATGTTATTAAAGGGTCTCATGTGTATGATTTGATAAGAGGAGTGACTGCTTCTCACAACGTGTCTGACAGCCAGAGACCTACAGGTTGGGATGAATATCTACAATCGCTGGTTATAATGAATATACCTTCATCAGTTGTACCAAATCAAAAGGTCAAAAGAAAAATTGACGAGATTAATAGAAAGACTTTTGAGAATCTTCTCCTCTTATTACTGGACCACCATCTATACCTCTTGTAACCAGAGGGCATCGATTAGCAAACAATGAAATAAGTCCCTTTGTATCTTCTGAAATGATTGTGATTGGATAACTTTTTAATTGTATATCGTTATTGATTTTAAATAAATACATAGACATAACTTTATAATTTTTAAGTGTTTTTATTTATATCACCATAATAACAAAAAACATTGTCGTACACGTTTCAACCTATAAATCATTTTGATAATGAATGGCACACAACTTTTAATATTATTATACACATTTAAAAGAATCTGATACTTGGACACACTGGTTACATTCTGCATAATTATTTTGACCACATACAACCGAGGGTCGTATTTTTTTCACAAATTTGCACACCATAAAATCATTGTATGACCGTTTATTACTATATTTAGTCATTACATTGTCATAAGATAATCCTCAATTCATATGGTAAAGAAAGAACACACACTGCTGACCGCACACTACAGAATCCACATCTTGCACTTGCCTAACAGAATGTTGCGTGGACTTACAATTACTGTTGAGAAAGACAGAAAAGGATTGAGGAAAATGTGAGTATACCGGAGAGTTCCCAAAACTGTCAAAGAATGACACCCTGCTTGTCAATATAGATAGCGACCCAATGTTGTCCTCCCACCAACATGGCGGGTCTCTTTTTAATAACTGATTTAGGAAGTTGGTCACTAGCAAATACTCCAAGAAAGTCAATGAGAACCTGTCTTCTTGATGATATCTCAATTATAGAATCATATGTGGCGTAAATAACCGCATTTATTGTGATTTCTAAAATGAGCCTCTAATCTAACACTACCGTTTTTAATGAGCGACGTATGGTCTCCGCATCCTTCATCAGGGTTCAGGTTAAAACAGAAAAGACTATATCCATTACAAAATTTGTCACGGGTTATGGCCATAGCGTTGTTTTTAAGATACTTTCCAGTTGCCAAGTACAATTGATGATACTCCCTGATGGCATTCCCTCTGGTAAAGTTGGGTTGAAAGGGTTTTGAAGGATATTGTTTGCCGTCAACGTATAAACATAAAAACTCTATATCATAATGGTTAAATGTAAATGGGTTACGCGCATAACTACCTGTAAATGCCTCATGATCCACAAATCCTACTACAATAAATTTAGGTATTTTTCCCAAGAATACATTTTCTTGATTACAAACACGAGTGCCCGTTGAGACAGACTCTGTCTATGGGATATTTAACGTTGCCATGCGTTAATGCCTTAGCGTGTGCTAGCTTAACAGTCGGAGATATGGTGACTTTATATAAAAAAACAGGCTTGCTGACATAATGTTAACCCGTCTACAGTGTTGCACATTAAGCAAAATTTGTTTTTAGCTCTTATGAATTTTATTTTGAGGTCTACTCCATTTATCATTAACTTGTCTTGAAAAAACAAGTCAGAATGTAATGTATAATGTGTTGTATTAGCATTCTTTTAACTAGTCCCTTGTTGCGTCCTCCAGCCGTTGCGTCCTCCAGCCGTTGCGTCCTCCAGCCGTTGCGTCGTCCACATGACCTGCTGTATCCATGCGAAATAGTCCAGATCCAAACTGTGTCTGCAGAGCATCCTTTCCTTAGCCCACTTCGTCTGCTTGATCCAGGTTTCCACCATTAGCTTTGGTGATTTTTACGTGCGTGTACAGAAAAGTTTTGTTTAGATCAAGGTAGTCCGCTGTACTAGCTGGAATGAAAAATTCAAGGGGTGCAGATTCTGATATCGCAGCTAGAGTTGAGAATTCGACGTAGACGCATTTCTCAATACTTGTTTGTGTTAACGGCACCATAAACAGGTCTAGCTCCGACTTAACGCACTCTTGTGATAGGCTATGTACCAACGACATTCTTGTTAGAAAATGTCTCTTGTCTTCTGACGTTTTGTCGACTTGCTTCTCCTTGCTTGTTTATTTTTTCTAGTCTTAGTATGGGTCTTCTTATTTGTTGTTCAGCTACGCCTCTTTGGTGGGGAACTCCCTCTTTTCCCTGGAGGTCGTTTTATTGGTCAGGGAGCCACGGCCACTACACCCGACCCCTATTGATGTCTGTTCATGATGTTAGTAATAACATCCGTAGCTATGTTTTTAGCAGCTGTCTTTAAATGAGGGGTAACAAATGTAAATCCTTTCTTGAGTAAGGGGAATGCTAATCTAAACAGACCCCTAAAGATACCCCCTAACCCTGCACCATACTGAGCACCGAGCCCGCTGCATCCTGGTAAATCACCACCCGCTTGGGCTGTATAATATGCAACGTACTTGTCCGCATTGTGAGCATATGGATGGTACATGTTTGCTCCTTGTCTAATACTGATATTTTCCGGGTCTAAAGTGTAGCTTTATTATCACTTTGCCGTACGTAAAAGGGATATGTTGATTCTGATCTGTCTTGAGAGGATGTCGCGCCAAATACGGCATCTGTGTCAACACTGTGTTAGTTCGTGGCTGAGATCTAAATGTTGCAATTCCCTCGTGAGTTTTAAAAGCCGCTCCAGGGATAAATCCCAACATTTGTGCAAGTTTTCCTTGAAACGTTAATTCTACGTCTCTCGTTGGTCAAATGCTTACTCTGTTGGTAATGTTGTTGTAATGAAGCTCAATGTGACCCATGTCGTTTTCAGATAAATAATAGTTCAGCTATTATCTGTGACATTGTTGTATAGAACCCCTGTGTCGCTGATAGAACTACCCTCTTGTTGGATTTTTTTCATACACAACAAATTTTGAGTCTTCTGATGAAAAAGATTTCCATGTTTTTGGATATTGTATTTCTATCAAACCCCCCTCGTATGCTGATTTAAAGTATAAAGGCTTGGATAGTTTTGTTCTAAAGTTTGCTATTGTATTGCTTGGGTAAAATAATCCAGACGAGTTGCTGGGCAGGGTGACAAAATAATCCTCTGTATCCATTTAAGCTCCACCTTTATGGAGCTAAATTAGGGCCAAATGTTTTGTTAATTTGAAAAAAGAAATTGTAATCGAAAAACTAAAACTTGAAATTGAAAACTTAATTTAGAAATACAAGAATGTACTCAAACTAAAAATAAGTTCGCCAATTTTTTTCAGTTTAAATAAAATATTGATTTATTTCTGGAAGTATTTTGAAGAAATTATTTGTTTTTTATTTTTCACTTTTCCATATTTTGATATTTTAGGACTTTTATTTTTCAGTTCCACGTTTTATGTTTTCAGAGTCAAAGCTTATTTTTTTTTACAGCATCAAATCTTTTTTTTACAGCTTCAGATCTTTTTTTTTCACTTTCAAATCTATTTTTCACTTTCAGATCAGTATTTTTCAGTTTCAGACTTTTGGCCCCGATTTTGCGTGGGGGGCGTGGTTTCAACGGAGAGGGGCGTGGAATCATGAGTGACAGTCTAACAAAGAAGGAAGAAGACTCTCCTCAGTCATGTTGCCTTCACGAAACATAGGCACTGCGAGAATCATGGCTCAATGCTTTCTATCCACCATATGCATGTGACTGGCAGTAAACAAACTAATGCCAGTGGCTAAGTTCCCTTGAAAAAGCTGTTTTGGACAATACGTGGGACCAATTACACTATACGAGCAATAAATTGTGCCAGTTTGTGCAGTTCAGCAGCTACACTTTAAGAAGGAACTTCTCCCACTTACACATACGACCATGAACGCACCGCTGTATTCACTCGCCATGGCGTCCGCAGCGCCAAGGCAACCCGCTGGCGCCAGTGCACAGGTAAGACATGTGAAATATATGGGCCGTTTAGAATATATTCTTTGGGGACATTATCCCACAGTGGATAATTATTTTATCGTAGGGACACACATAAAGGGAAAATGCGTTTGAGTTTGACAACTGGACAAAGCTGGAAATGAAGCATCGCTTGGATTAGCATGAACTAAGTTAGCTCCATCCTACTAAAGCTAGCTAGTGTTTTCAGTAACTAGCTAAAGTTCTTTTATGCCTTTAACGTGGATTTTCTTTGTTAACCTCTGTTTGTCAGAATGTCGACCATAACTCGACAGTGTCTTATAAACGTGCTCACACAGAACATCTCTCAGGGACAGCAAGAGCAAGGAAGAATGCAGGAACAGGGATCGTCATCTGTAGACCAAGAGATGGCCAGGTTTTAGATGGAATTTTATTGTTCAAGTTCATTTTAAAGTAATTTAACTAGTTAATATTTTATTTGTACATTTATGACCATAATAAAAAAATTTAAATCATGCAGATCTTTCCCTGGATTTTTCTCAAGAAAAAGTTACCTAGGAAAGCAAAAGATACAGAGTCCAAAGACCTATAGCACACCATATACAAAAACCTGGAGGCCTTTTAGTTTCTATGTTTACCTGTTAAACATAAATTCAGAGACAACCCCAACGTCATCTGAAGAGTCTGAACTTGCTCAAGCAGGGCTTGGAAAAAGACATCTCACCATGTCCAGGGATATGAGTCACAAGGAGGTATTACAGATTAAACTTTGCTCAAAACGTCTTATATTTAAAACATGACCCTTTTATCCTAGTGGTAGGATATTCTTCAAGCATTGAGACATCAGCTCCTAGTCATGGCAGGGAGGACAATAGACAAAAGAACAATTTCTACCTCCATCTGCACTCCATTTGCACTGTTTACTGTGTTAAAAGTTATTTTAATTCTAATTCTATTTTAATATAGGTTTAATGTATGTTTAATGGATGTATGTTTTGTATGCTACTGGATACTTGAATTTCCCTCGGGATAAATTAAGTGTATCTATCTATCTATCTATCTATCTATCTATCATCACTTAGTTATGTTCTCTTAGTTCTTTAGACTACTGCAAAATGAGTACCCTAAGATGCAGGGAGTGACAGGTGGATGGCTGCTCTACAAGGCTACAGGTGAAGAAAAATAGTAATATAATATCCATTTTCATACATTGCCATTCAAATAACTTGGCCAAACATATCTAGTTGAAATAATCCAAACAATGTTGCATTTACAGGTGGTCAGGGTAAAAGGAGACTGATAATGATTCCTCCAGACTCTGATGGATACACCGGAACTCTTCTTCGCAGTGTCACAGGGGCAGGGAAGAACACCCTGTATATTGTGCCTTTGCAGCATGAGTTTGACCTAACTCCACTACCTCCAGATGCCATTGAACTCCAAAGTATGCCAAAAGCACAATGTCAAACTTGCAAAGTGAGTTTTCCTTTGCACATTTTGGCCCTTCATGTTCTGGAGTGCATGGAGTCTCAGTCAGCAGGAAGGATATTGAGGTAAGCTATGTAATACATGTGATGTTGCATTGTACAGCAACTACTGCTTTTCATGAGTTATAACAGAACATTTTCATATGTAATATCTTAGACATGTGAAAACGACATCCAGATAGTTTCAATGACAGCCCCCCCTGTACACCATGACACCAAGACATCTTTGAAGAGGTAAAGTGTTAAATGTTATTGTGTTGCAATGTGAAAAGCCCACATAAACTGTTCTGTATGAGACTGTTGCTAATAGTCCAACTGTTCTGTCTCCAATAGAAAGTTCCATGTCCTATCTGTTTCTTGAAATTTACACCACAGTTTGTAGAGATCCATGCTAGCATGTGTGGAGAAAGGTAATTTGTATGCAGTGTTTTTATGTTCATTTTAAATGTATATGTAACTTGAGTACTTGTTTTATCTATTCGTACTAATATGTGCACAATACATGTGCTTTTGTAGAGAAAAGGACAATCTTAAGATGACTGAGACACCTGCTGCGAGCCAGAACAATGGAGAGGAGCAAATCTAAAGGTAAATACTGTGTTGTCTAAATACATAAACATCTTCATCCTACACAGATCTTAATTCTGCAGGTTTTGCAGTCAACATTAGTAGCTATTTATTGATTCTAAGTTTGGTTTGGCAGTGTTGATGATGTATTGGATGCCATGTGTGGAAGAGTTGACCTAGAGAAACAGTTCAACATCCAAATCTCCAGAACAAACATTCTGGAGAGAGGCCTACTGCAGTGGCAGCGTCAAAAAAAAATTCACCTACTGCTGCTCTGAAAGTGACATTCTTTGGGGAGGCTGGAGTGGACACAGGTGCTCTCCGAAAAGAATTTCTCACAGGTAAAACAAAAGGAAACATATTTGAATCCACAGAACAGTCTCTATGAATAACGGGCAGCTCATCCAAATCATGAAGAAATGTTACATTTTTATTAGTAATATGTCCATCACCTAAGGTCTGTCCTCGAGTTGTGTATTAGGTTTTCTATAATGTACAAAAATTAATATAACCCTAACCCAAATTAGACAAACCCTATTGAAATGATCTGAATGGCTAAATAGAAATACATTTTTATTATCTTGGTTGGGTTTCCAAGTAATATGGTCTAAATTAAATGGCTAATAGTTAATTCACACGATAATAAAATATTACTTGATGTAGGAGACCCTAGACCAACACAGTTATTGTGTTTGTACTTGTGTGAATAGAAATGATTGCAGGAATTGAGAGCCGTTTCTTTGAGGGGCCAAAGCACCAGAGGAGCCCACGATACTCTCTGACTGACTTTGACAGCGGCCTGTACAAGTGGGTTTATTTTTATGCAAGTCGGGACAAACGGTTTCTTTCTGTGAAACATTTTTTAAAACATTAATGCTTAATTTGTGTAAATAGGACTGTTGGAGAGATTTTGGCAGTAAGTTTGGCACAAGGTGGCCCGGCCCCTGCCTTTTTCAGCCCATGGACTTACAGTTACCTCTGTAGTGGCCAGATAAACCCGGCGACTCTCAATACCGAAGCAGTTGCAGATGTCCAGTTGCGAGAGTTAATTGAGCAGGTATGACCTCTGTATGAAGAAAATACTGGGTTGATCAAGTATTCCCTGTCAAACAATATTTTCATGTGTTTACATGGTAAAGAAATTTTCTTCCTGTGATTTAAATTTATATTTTCAGGTTGAAATGTCAACTGAACATTCAATTGAAGGCCTTTCTGATGAAATCATAAATTGTGGATATACTGGAGCTATCTCAGTGCAAAACAAAGAGTCCATTGTTCGGTATGTTAGGACATATATTTCTGTTTGTACAGTAAAATTAATAAAAGGGAATTTTTTTTTTGTAGCAATTGTTTTCCTGTCTACTATTGTAGTGCCATTGTACTCCATGCAGTGCTGAGGCTGCAGCCTATGTTGGAACAACTGAGAGAAGGCCTGCAGCTGTATGACCTTCTTTCGCTAATAAGGCAGTACCCAGATATCTGCCAGCCCCTGTTTGTTCCCGGTGAAGATGTAAAAGTAAGACAAAACTAGACCATTTAGTACTATTATATGAGAATGAATTAAGAAATGCTTAACTGCTATGACATTTAATAATTAAATGGTGACATGATATACAATTTTATCTCATCATAGGTTAATGCAGAGTTTGTCATGGCATCCATTCTTCCTCAACTGAGTGACAAAGGGACTTCCAGGCATCAGATTGAGCTGGAGATGATCAACTTTATTCAGGACTTCCTTTATGAAGCTGAAGGTGTATAGTTGTTAATGTTCTGCAAATCAAATATTCGAAAGCTCAGTAAAATGTGTGTTTTCATGACATTTTGAGCTGTATAATTTTCTGGTACCACCTGTAATTATGCAGGTATGAATATGTTAACGTTATTTTCTACCTGAAAATTTTTGATAATGGTAATAAGTACTATGGACCAGGGTAGTTTTTGTTTTAAGACAGTTGTCACTTTTTTTGAATGCAAGGCTGTAATCACAATGAGCATACATACAGAGAACATACATACAAATGATTGTTTCCCTAAACCCATTGTTCTTAATGAAAACCTTTACAAATCTATCACCATTCTATGTAGAAAGACATCGCCAATAATGAAAGTATATATAATGGCATATATTCATTGTGTTTGGCTAAGATAGTCTTCTCCAAATCATCTTGAAATGTGACTTTTTCTGTTCTTCTGTGGCTGAGTACCTTTGTCTAATTCACTCCTTTAATTGAAAGAACTGCATGGCAGTAAGGAATAACATTTGCAATGGTCACATAACACTTGTTGTTTTATGTTTGCTTCATAGCTAAAGACCAGGTAGATGACCAAGATGGCCTACATTCCATCACACCTGCCAGGTTGCTCCAGTGGATCACAGGCCAAGGTCACATCCCACTTCTTCCCTCAGAGAAGAAGGATTTTGCTGTAACAATCAAGTTTAACCATGACTGTAGTGCAGACTTTGGCCATCACAGTGTGTGTTACCCCGTTGTGTCAGCATGTGCCAAGAATATTGTACTACCTGTAAAACATATGAGGCCTTATGACCAATTCAAAAAGGTTCTAACTGAGGCTTTTCATCTGGGCCAACAGTTTAATATGGTGTAAATATTTACCATCAACTGATGGTACCTTTTTCTAGGTTGAACTACAACCTACAGTAAATGATAAATGTTGCACCAGTTGCTACTGTTTTACTTATGTTCTGATCAATGAAACACATTTCTTAGTAATACGGTGTTCCAAAATCCATATTTGGAAAGAGGAATTAGTCGAGAGTAAACATTAAATTATTGTTTAATAGCAGTACTGTTGAGCATTTCATGCAAACATGTTAAGGTTAAGAAGGTAATCTTGCAACAAGATTTCATAAAAGTAATTAGTTTACATCTCATCTAGATGTCTGGCTAATTGGCATCATGTTGTCTCACTCACAAGTTGCAGCCCAGCACTCTGAGAAGCAGTTAAAGAATGTTTGTACCATGTAGCTTCACTGCTGTCAGTAACAATAAACATTTAAAACAAGTTCAATGTACACTTTGTGTAACACATTAGTGTTAAGCTGGTTTTTGAAACAAAATTCCTGCATCTACGGTACATGATTTAGCACGTAGTTCAATACAGCCAAATAAATGTCTCGCCCATAGGAATCTGATGGTCCTGTAACATCAATAGTGTTCCTTAAGCCTGTCATGTCCTGCTCAGAGAGAGGACATTCAATGGGCGGAAGAATCACTCCAGGACTGCTCACGTCTTGCTCGCTGGCAGTGTTGAAATGAAGATCTGCATCCTCAATTTCCTACATTTAAAATAAAAAGGTCATTTATAAATCAGGGAACATAAAAGTAAATTTATAAAAGTATTAAGAAGACTAATGTGAACAGAACGGATACTATGCTGATGCCAGTATCAATACAGTATCAGCTCCTTTGTATTTTATTCAATGCGACCTAAGCTGTTGTTCAGCTTTTAAACCATTTTAAGCACTTTGATATTAGTAAACATTCAAATTCTCTGCAATGTGAATTTAGAAAGAATTAGCTCTGTTATCACTTTCATTAATTTGATACTGATTGCAAACCACATAAAATCAGTTTTTATAAATTATATAAAATAATGATGCTACAAAATGAACTTTACATTATCTTGCACCAACTTTTCATCAGTAATGTAATACACCATGAAAATATAATTTCCAAGCTTTATCATGGAGTAAGTTTTCAGGGATTTCTTTACAGTGTTGTACAGATATTTTAAACACAATGGTTGTGTTTAAAATATTTTAATTAAATGAAACAACTGTAATAATCAATACAAACAAAATGTAATTAGTACCTCTGTCAGGTCTGGAGCATCAACAGGATTCAGGAGGAGCCCCATCATCCACAGTTGTTGCGGGGACAGATTCTGCTCTGTTCTCAGAGGGTGATTATCCCACCCCACCCTGAAGACATCGAGATCCCTCTGCAGACGTGGAAGAAACACATGCTGGGCACAGAAAAGATGGATGCTGTCAGAAGGATCTAGAACACCTTCGTCCTCAAGGCTGTGAAGAATCTCGTAGTGCACATTGGAAACAGTCATCCAAACATCTCGCCACAAACGTTCTATTCTGTTAAAAGAAAACATAAAATTATCTTCAAGTGGGTACAGTACATTTGAACTTGCACTTGAACTTGTGTAAAAAATAAATGGAACATGGAACAAAGGTAGCCCAATTTAGATGAATTTATTGGACAACCGTAAGTGAAAGTTCAAGCTACTGCTCTTCCCTAGACTAGAAGACGGATATAAAGATGCCATTGTTAATACTCTGGTCACATACTAGGACATGATCCAGTGGTAGGAGTGGGTCGGTTCAAACTGGTTTGATATTCAGCCAAACACCAAACCGAACCTTTAGGTGTCACATTGAACGCAGCAGATGCTCTCCAAAGTGACACTGAACGATGACAAGAAATAAACAGAAGAGCTGGTTCCACCGGTTACTTCAAATTAAACTGGTTTGAGATTCTAAACTGCACCGGAATAGTAAAAATAGAAATCCACCTAACTCTATCCAGTGGTAAGAACACTTGAAATACAGAAATACAGTAAAGTCAAGAAACCATATAAAATACATAACCGCCTCACAGGCTGTGAAAAGCACACTATCTAGTGATATCTGGACCTAGCTATATTAAATATATTACGGCTTCCAGTCAGATATACATTTCTTTTGATCTATGTGGATCTGACTTATTTAGAAGAGTTTAATACTTGCCCTATTATGTGCCTTTCATGTTAGGTGTTTTATGTGGTTTCTTTGTTTTGACTTTATCTTTTTCACATTTGGATCTGGTAAATATTAAGTGCCCAGAGAGTTTGGAAGAGTGTGCAGACCTTTGCTTCATGTTTTGTGTTGTTTGTTGTTGAGGCTTCTGGATGTGTGTGACTACTTCGCAGTACATAAAGAAAACATACCTTTGGTAGTGTACACTCTTTCCTGACAGGAAACTCCCCCTTCCACAGCCTCTAATGGTGAACATGCATCGCGCAACACCAACGTTTTCCACTCCTTGGTCACCTCTTACTCTAAAAAGAAACCGTCACACATAAAGAAATAAAAAAAAGTTTTTAAATAAAAATGCATGATTAAATGTTTCAAAAAAATAGAAGATAAGCTAACTTCTAACATCTTTATGTATTATAAAAATACAAGAAAAAAATCCAAAGCACTCTCTTTTAAATAAATAAAATGCCTTTATTGTAATGGTATTTACAAAATTTAAATGCCCACTTAAACGTGCTTTGGCATCAGGGAGATGCCAAAATGTGTTTTAGCACGCATTTTAATTCTTATATAACCATGCCATTATAATAAAGGCATTTTAATTGTTTAAAATGCCTTTTGTTTATGGTCATCTTACTGGACAAAACATTGTTTGAGAACTTTAAAATGAAAAACCCTGTACATCCTTAACAAGCAGTTGATACACAAATGACTGAGGTAGGAACTACCACAGTGAACCACACTTGGTCTTACCTTAATGGAAAGCCATACTTCTGCACTGCCTCCATGAAGAAATCAAGTGCAGTGGATGCTTTATTATTGGTCGCAGCACCTAGGTACATGATCTGAAGAAGAGAATATCATTCACTGGAAATTAAATGAAAGCATTTCATTTTTCAAACCTATAACAAGAAGTAGAACCATGTCTGTCATTTTGAATCTCATTTAGTAGTCATCATACCTTTCGTGAGAAGCCATCAATCCCTCCAAAAATAACAAGGCCATATCTGTTGGGGGGGACGACACTGAATCAGTTTGATGTAGTACTTGTGTAAATTTCTTTGCTGATGCAAAACAACAGTGTTAAAAATGTGTTCAAGTTTTTGATTACAATTTCTTTTTTCAAATTAACAAAACATTTGGCCCTAATTTAGCTCCATAATCCTGAGTGGGCTTGTTCCCAGTAAATGTTTTGTTCTTTGCAGTCAGTGCACTCCTACAAATAAAAGCTGTAGTTGTTTTTTAAGGAAAAGGTCAACTAGTGTATTTGAAGAAAAATTGCCCAACATATACAGATACATAACACATTAAAACAGGATTTTTATGGCCGCTTGCCATAATGCAAACACATTTTTTACATCTCCTCCTACACCGCTTGGTGATAGCTCCTTTCCTTTTCAAGATATTGACCAATAAACGTGTAAAGGGGCGTGGTGCAGGACATAAATAGACAAAGATCCACAACTGTTGTTCCAATCATCACAAAACACACAGGATATGTCCACATGAGTGCCGGAAATATTCCTTGAAAGTTTCATTCAAATCGACCACTAGGTGGCGCTTTAAATGCATCGTAACTAGACGTGAAATGATCAAGCTATAGATCAGAAAATGGTTGTCCAGTTGTTACAAAACGTACAGGATATGTTTTATAACAATGTTGAACCGTATGTGTGAAATTATTTTGATGGCGATATTGGGGAAAAAAGGTATGAACCCGCGAATCGCCGCTTGCGGCTATATTTATTATTATTATTATGTTTTTTTTTTCTTAATGTCTGTTCCTTGGACTTGAGGCTGCAATGAGGGTGTGATGGATTTATTTGATGGATAATGACCTCCTTAAAATGTGAGCAGTGCTGAGGAGGATCTTCTGGATTTCTTGTATCTTAATGTTACCAGGGATTTTGTTGGTGTACTTTTCCATCCCTTTCTTGACCAGACTAAGAGCACCCATTACTACTGGAATTGTTGTGGTCTTCATCCCCCACATTCTTTCAATTTTCTATCTCCAGATCTTTATATTTGGAGAGTTTTTCTGTGGTCTTCAGGGAGGTGTTTGTTTCATTATTATTAAATAAAAAGTATTGAAATAATGAGTCCCAAGTCTACGTCAATATGGGCCACCTGGATCAGTGACCCTGAAAGGGGGCTAAAATGCCATGCTGCAGAGATGCCGCATTTCAAGCTCTCATATCCAGTCTCTTGGCAACACCCCAGATCTTACAACCATAGGTGATGGTCTCATCAAAGATTTCCCAATATTTATAAACTCTAACTTGTGGCAAAGTTCTCAGCTTAACAGTTTGAGACAAGGCCTGCATATAGTAGCTACACTGAAAACAACAGTAAGTCTCACTTTCAGTTGTTACTGTCAGTTTTATATCAGTACCATCCTTTGGGGCATATTCCCACCTTTTATATGGGTGGCTTTCCAAGAGAAAGTCACATCAACCCATGCTCTTCACAAGCCACATACATGTATGTGGAATGGAAGGCTTTGATTTCTTTAATATAAGAATAAGAGAAATTTGCACTTCTATGAGCAGAATAAAATATGCATTGTTTCCTGGAAGGGTGTGATCTGTTCAGTAGCTCCATGCTTCAGTTCCAGTTGTGAAACACCTATCTGTAGTAACAAAGAACTAGGGTGTGACACTTTGACAGTATCTAGAATGTTTGTCATTTAAGGACAAATCTCTCCCACTCCTTGCAGAATCTGCCATCTCAAATATAACAATACCAATTACCTTCTGTCCAGATGCTTGTAGCCTTTACAATAGTTTTAAGAAGGTCTACAAGGTCTGTCTGACATAGTGATGTATTGGTCGGTGGCAGTTAACGCACGCTGTCTTTCTTAAGATGTACTATCTCTCTCTCCTCTATATATCTGTCACTCTCTTTCAAAAAAAACCCAACACATTTGTCATTTGGTTTGCACTTATGTGTTACTTCATGCAACCTTGTGGCCCTTGTGGCTGGATTTTACCTCATTAGTATGCCGCTTTGGACAAACAAATATATGTAGATATAACGTCTGTAAAAGTGGGATGTAACTAATGAGAACAGTTCCTAGTGATCAGTGTTATTTTCCATCACGTAACCACACTGTTGCTGAGGTCTAAAACTGTAAAATATATTTTTGGTTAAAATGGCAAAACTCCACTGCATGGCAAAATGACACATTAAATTAAGCCTTGCCATTATTATGCATGTTTACTTTATTCCTCATCAGTTTTGAGAATTTCCATGAAGACCAGTTAGGCTAGAAACCACATCCTGTCTCAACCGTCATGCCCCTTTCCCTCCTTCATCACACAATCTCAACAAACTACAGAGGAGGAAAAGAATAAGTGAATGATGTGAAATTAGACAATAAAAAGAAGTGTGTGTGTGTGTGTGTGTGTGTGTGTGTGCTGTATTCTTATCATTACATATCAGCTGGCAGGATTGTTTGGCAAGTGACAAACAATGTGGGTGTCTTGTTGTACACTCTGTGAGAGGGCTATGGAGTAATGATTGATCACAAGGCAAGGGTGTCATACAAGCCTCCAAGCTAGTGTTTCCACAGTAACAGAACAACTAAAGCTCAGTTCATGAATGAAAACTTAATTTTGGTTAATACAGTAGGAATATTGTTGGTAAGCACATACACATACACCAAAAAGATGTCAGGCATAACATATACATTGCGCACACTACAAACATTAGTGACAAATAGATTTTTACTCCTTTTTCTGAAGGCATACCAGAAGGAATTTCCGGACATTCCCATCGGATATTCCGGACATGAGCAGGGACTCTACATTACTTTGGCTGCTGTGGCGATGGGAGCAAAGGTCGTGGAACGTCATGTGACCTTGGACAAGACCTGGAAGGGAAACGACCATGAAGCATCCCTGGAGCCCTCAGAGCTGGCAGAGCTGGTCCGAACCATCCGACTGGTGGAGACTGCGATGGGATCACCTGCCAAGCAGATGTTACCCTGCGAGAAGAACAGCCATGATAAGGTTGGTTGGATTCATTTAGACCCCCCCCCCCCCCCCCACGTTCTATTTAGTTTGCACATGATGGTTGGTTTACTCCTCATAGGGAGTACTACTCAGCTGGTGAAAACACTTGTGTAATTTTTTCTGTGACTCTCGAGGGAGCGTTTCATAGTGTAAGCAAATAACCATGATGATGGCATCAGGGTTATCTCAGCTTGGACTTGGGGATGTCAAATGTTTATCTGAAAGCTGTTACAAGCTGGTAGAAAAGAGTTTGAAAGACATGGGCATTTTCCAGTCAGGTAGGGTGTAGTAATTAAAGACGCCACTGAGTCGCTTGCAAGTCCACCAACTTTATGGAAGTGCAATACGAAATCATTCCTTTAATTTAACCCCAGTTTAGTTTTAACTGAAAGGACTTTTCTCACTACAAATCCATTTGGACTGGAATGACTGAGTTTTATATTATATATATTATAAAAATACTCCAACAGTAACTTATTATGCTTTTCTGTAAGTAATATTCCTGTTGGGGACAACAGATATTTACCCCTATTAACAGGAAAAATGCCTAAAATAACATACCCAAAATGAATCAGGAATAACTCCTCAATTATTTGGCCTAGATGCATAATTATGCTCTCCTTTGAAAGGTCAAAAGCTAAGGAATATAAATCCATCGAAATTAAAATATTTTACCATTACAGACTAAATGGAGATGCAATAAGGAAAAAATATTTCCTCCTCGCCTGGTAAAAAAGCTATATTTTAAATGCAATAAACCATCAAAACCATCATAAGATAGATAATGCAAATGAACAGGCCTATCTTCTAATACACCTGGAATGCAATTGTAACTGTAAATTTGATGAAAATAAACAAAAATACAACAGTTATCATACAATATTTTCAAAATATACTAGCAATATTTACTGTTTAAATTTTGACTTTTATTGGGAGTTATCTTTAAACACTATTTATGTCCATACAACTACATTCCAAATAACATAACATTGAAATATTGATAAAAACATTGAATATTCATCAACATTCCGGTCATCAAAATTACTCCCATGCTTTAGAGGCATGTAGCTTGAGAAAGGAACATCCCACAGTGATCCAGACTGAGCAGACCTTTCGTTTGGTTATCTATGTAGCTACTACGGGTCGGCCATCAGACTGCGAAAAAGACGTTTGCGTTCCAAAGCGGCATTTCTCCTGCTCTGCAGAATAAGCTGACAGGCACAGTGCCCAGGTATTGTGCAATAATCAAGATGGCGCCCGGAGATATTTTTAGCAACAGATCAGCTGATTTTTGGACTTAAAACAGTAAACAGGCAAAAGTAAGTCAGTGGTTTTCATGGTTTGCGTGCTGCCTCTGGTACCAGGGGCGTCGGTGTTCATTAATATTATAACTATCCACTAGACAGGGTGTCATAATTACACCAGGTCTACTTAATAGAGAGAGTTTTGGTTGATGCATTTAATGATGTATTTAGAATCCTGCTTAAGTTCCCAAGATGGACAAGTGCAAGTCACATATTTGTGATAAGTAATGTAGCCTACCTGGTCTTCATGCTATATTGCGGAATTTTATGCATAAATTTATGTCGGATGATTAACTCAAAAAATGTAATGACTATAGCTTTAACTGAACCAACAAAAAGTGATTAAAAGGTATTCCTCATGTTTTTGGAAACACTGGAACAAATGTCTATATGTGTTTTAATCATGGTGGAATGTGTTATAATATGATCTGGTGCTTAATTCTGTACTGTGTCTTGTATTGTGTCTTTTATTTATTTTTTTATTGATTGATTGATTGTGTTGACATTTTAAAGGGGGTTATGACTATTGTAGGTCTGTCAGGAATGTATCAATACCCAAAGTATCATTACCAATATAATTGATTGTTTTAGGTATTGATCCAAGCAACAATAGGATCATGTTCATTCTATGTTATCAGACATAGATCTACCCACGGTACATCAGGATCGAATGGCACATGAAAGTTATTAACAAAGATTAGAAATAGTGATGTATAAAAATACATCCAAAAATACTCTAGTAATAATGTTGAATTCACCTCAGTATTCATGGAACATTATCTCCCCCATCATAGTATAGTAGCTGATTTAAATAATAATGAAATAATAAAAAGTATCAGTATTGCGGATTCAGGCCCCGGTACAACTTGCTATTAGATTTAAACCAATTGTTTAGGGATTGCCCAACCCTAATTTTTTACATTTGAATGTGTTGTGACATATTGCCACAGTCAGTTTGACAATAACTGTGATGATATTATGAAACGATAAGCACACAATAATTTGATGTGGATTACTCTAGAGACTCCAGCGTGCTCCAAGAGTTGGATCATAGGACTGCTTTCAGCTCCTTTTCTCCATATTTATTCAAAAAACAGCAAACTCAAGTCAAATACTTAACACTTTTAGAAATGATATGAAGAATCAGTAGGATGTTGTATGTAATTGTTTCTGTTGAATTGTATGTCTTAGTTTTGAATGTTTTAATGCATGTTTTTGTTAAATCTTTGTATAGGCATATATATTCACTTGTTTGTGTGTCTACTGTACATGCTAACATGTTTACACAGGGCACAGACTACAAAGAGATACAGGTCTCAGTCTGTTTTACACATTTAAATAAAGTTAAAATGAAACTTGTTTCACTGGAATTTATACTGTCCAATATGATTTTCTTCCCAGTCTGTCATTTTCAATTAATCTGTTGTTTCTTTTTTCTCTGTTTTTGCAACAGTTGGGAAAATCGGTGGTGGCTAAGGGGGCCATCCCCAAAGGCACGGTGCTGAGCCTGCACATGTTTGCAGTGAAGGTGGGCGAACCAAAGGGCTTCCCTCCAGAGGATATGATGAAGCTGGTGGGCAAGAAGATCAAAGTGGATGTGGAGGATGACGACAGCATCTTGGTGGACATGATAGAATAAAGGATCCTCCGCAAAGGTTGGGAGAGAGAGGCAGAGAGACAGACAGTTAGAGAGTGAGAGAGAAGGAAAGAGAGCAAAAGAGAAAGCAAAAAAGAAGTAGACAGGTAGAAGAGTGACGGACAGTGTTGCAGTGTGAACAGAAAGAGGAAGAGAAGGAATTAAAGCGAGAAACAGAGGATTAAGTCTTTGTGTCTTAAGAGAAAGTGACAGACAAGAGATTTGATAAAGAAGAATTGCAGTTAGAGAAAGTCAAATTTCATTAAAGATGAACAGGTCTGAATAGGTCTTAAAATGACTCCACTATGAACCAAAAAGATTGTGTTGGTGTAAAATCACAACAGTCGGTATTCACAACCAACTGTGTTTGCACCCTGCACTGTTTTGCTTTATGTATGATAAAGTCCAAACTGAGAAATGCACCATGGCTGGCTTGTCCTTACTCAATGCCAATATTTATCATATGTGGTATGAACATCATCTCTATTCGGAATGATCTGTCCCTGCCTAATTCTCCCAGCATTCAATCATGTTACAATTATGAGGCGTGGTTAAATGTAATACCTATATCCCAAATGCTATCAGTAAATTTGCCTCTCTATTCCATAGTGTTTATCCTGGTGGTAAGTGTGGTGTAGGCTACTATGCTCTGTGCGCATGTGGGGGGGTGGTTACAGTTATGTGATTGCTGAAACTGAAATGTGTCCCAAGTATGATTTATCCTATTGGATCAGACTATTGTAAAATGTAATTCTGTTTGTTTTTTGCTTTTGTAATTCTTCTGTTTTGTCTCAGAGATTTAACTATTTTGTCTTTTTATTCCTTTTGTTGGTGGGGGGTGCTGTTTCACTTCTGAAGTGGTTATTGCTGTCTTTTTGACTTGTGTTCACTTTGTTGCTGTTTGCTGTTGTTGATCCTGTTAATTAGGCTATGTACACTGTATTTGCTGCTTTCAAATAATTTCAGCATTACATTTGCATTACATTTTGAAAGCACCACATGTGGCCCCTAAATAGTAATCAATGTTTCTGAAATATTAATCTTGCAAATAAAAAGGATGTCACAAATGGCAGTGAAAATGTGGTTGTTATAGTGCTGGTTAGACCATTAGCCCATTTTTAAAAATAAACTCTCCAGATGTCCAGCTTACTCATAAATGTGGATAACAGGTCTTGACCTGCTCAGAGTACTAGGTGCATGGGAGAGTTTTTCACCAGTCAGTGCTATGTTAAGACTATGTTTACACAAAATATTGTAGGCCTATAGCCCACCTTAAAATTGTTGTCACAGCATCCTGATTAATGCTTTTATTTAGTTTTAATTGGTGTGTTTATACGTTTTGCATTTTAATAACTGTTCGTGTGACGTTTCAGAAGATGATCAAGCAGCTAAAGACTTCATTCGTGCCACACCTGCATTTCAAACATGCATACGTCTATGCTTTTATTTGTGAAGGAAATCCGGTTTTTACGTTGAACTACAAAGGCGGAAGTCCGTGTACATCCTGATGTGCAGCATATTATATGTTCCGGTCGGTTTTTCAAGGCACGTCTCACAGCAATTCCTCCGTCTTTTTCTTTGCTAAATAATTTCCTTTTCTGCGATCAAAATGCCCTTAAAGTTTGAGCTGTGTCCCGGTAGAATGATCGGAGGTAACCATCCGTGCTTCATCATTGCAGAAATTGGACAAAACCACCAGGGAGACATTGAGATTGCCAAGAAAAATGATCAAAATGGCAAAGGTAATAAAATGGACACGTAACGTTAAAGTTATCGGTTTATTTTGAATGCGAGAAAGTGCACTTGTTTTGTTCTTATCTTGACCAGCAAGACCTCACACAAAGGACCGAGCAGACTCGGAGCTCAATTTAAAAATGTGCCAATTTAACATATTGGTCGCCTATACACGTCTGAATGAGTAACGCTAACTTACATTGAATGCGCATAAACTTTACTAATGTATGTTTAGCGACCTCTATGCTTGAATTAGTAGTTGAAATTATAATGCGCTGATTAATGTACCATCTATATGCAAGTCGGCTGAATGATTATTGTAAAACATGTTAGCTATATTATAGAACGTTAAATTCCCAGATTTGTGAATGGAGTTTGGTTTACCTGGCACATAGTGGCATATATAGCCATACTATGGCTTCTGTATGTGTGCTGACAGCACAGTGTTTTTTGTTTGTTCAATTCAACAACCTCATAGATGGAAAACAAAACACAAACACATAAGTATTATCCATTATTTTCCATCCATTATAAGCATGTGATCTCCTTTAATCCCAGAGTCCAGCATGATACTACACTTAAAATATATTTAAATAAAATTGTAATAATTCTAATAAATGATCCATGTCCCCTCAAATTAGTACCAAATCACATAATCCTCTCCAGGAACCTTCCTGTCAGTTGAAAGTTGTATAGGCCTATCTGTTGTTTTCTAGGACTTTATAGGAGTCCACAGGGCTCCTAAAATGAATCATTACTATTTAATACATTTTACAAGCTTCCATTCTTTTCTTCTTTTCGGACCTTACTTATATCCACCTTCACAGGACTGTGGTGCTGATTGTGCCAAATTCCAGAAGAGTGAGTTAGAGTACAAATTTAACAAGCGAGCCTTGGAGCGCCCATACACTTCTAAACACTCCTGGGGGAAAACTTACGGGGAACACAAGCGCCACCTGGAGTTCAGCCATGAGCAGTACAGGGAGCTGCAGAAATATGCAGAAGAGGTGGGGATCTTCTTCACCGCCTCAGGAATGGATGAGGTAAGAAAGGTCCTTTTGATTATGCTTTTCAGGCGTTTTAATCAGGCTCAGGTTTAACTACAACATTATCTCTCTTCAGATGGCAGTCGAGTTCCTCCATGAGCTCAATGTGCCTTTCTTTAAAGTGGGCTCTGGAGACACCAACAACTTCCCCTATCTGGAGAAGACTGCCAAGAAAGGTGAGAGTTAACCATCCAAGTGTTCATGTTTATCATCATGTTTATTAAAATGGCATACACAGCGGACAAAATATTCAGTTTCACATACAAAAAAGGATATACATAATTGGACTTGACCGTGAACTAAATTATTTCAACATTGAATTTAATGGTTTCTGTTACAGCTTAAGTTTGCCAGTTGTTCTACATAAATGTGGATAAGGTCAACAGCACGAGCATCTGGTGTTTCATTCAATCTGCTCTGTCTATGAATTACAGTCAATCAACAGTAAAGAGAAGTTTGCTTTCTGAACACATGACGTTTATCAGGCGCGTTGCTTTCTTGTCTGTGTCAGGACGGCCCATGGTGGTGTCCAGTGGGATGCAGTCCATGGAGACGATGCGTCGGGTCTACAAAACAGTGAAGGAGCACAACCAGAACTTTGCCATCCTGCAGTGCACCAGCGCCTACCCTCTGGAAGCTGAAGATGTCAACCTCAGAGTTATTACGGTGAGAAGAATACCTTAGAGTAGCACTCTATATCAAAAGCTTGGTACAAAAACAATAGATTTTTAAAGATTTGTTGTTTTTAGCAGCTGAATTGCACTTTCAGAGATTAAGATTAAACTGTTTTGTTTATGCATTCTTTTAAATGCGTACTACACACAATAGTCCATTAAAGGCACTTCTCTGTATACTTTGGAATAGAGTAGGAAGAAGATGATATTTTTTTGTCTTAGTGACGTATCTTTGCCATGCCCTAATTTAATCACACCATGCGTTGTTCATCAACGGTGATAAATTATCCGAAAGTCCCGCAACACCAGTGAAGCTGGGGCTCTGTCTATTCAGCAAGCGTTCCTCCACTGCCACTACACTACCTACATGCTATGCTTACACATGCGCACTGATGACCCAGGGTTAGGGTTACAATTTTGGATTTATTCACGCACTTCAAAAACATTTATTGAAAGTTTTATTCTTTTTATATATTTATTTACAGCATTAAACATTGAAATTTATATTTTAGGCTCTATATTAACTTATTGGGAGAAAACTGGTAGTTCCATGTAAAATCAGACGTTGAGCACCCCCTTATAGCAAAAATGGCATGATCCTTGTTTCACTGCGATGCTTCTCTGTGAGATTGACAGTTTAATCAGGCTCCGCCCATCGAAGCAACAAATCTTCGACTGTTCGGGGTCAGGCCTAGTATACACGAATGTACTGCAAGTATGTACGTTACACAAACAAGATAAGATGTGTAAATTAATGATCCTAATTTTGTTACCTTTGGACAGGGCTAGCATTTTCCATCCTATTTCCAGTCTCTAATGCTAAGCTAAGTAGCTCCTGGTAGTTTATTATTTTAACTTTATTTTAGTTTCAGTAACCTCATGATAAAAAAGAACAGAATTGAGTTGTTTAGATATGTAGTGTCATACAAAACACTGTATGGATATCTGAAACAAATCATATACTTTTATTTGATGGTCACCTTGTAACACAATAAATCTTTTTAACTCACAGAGAGTGTCCAAACATTTTTATAGTAGTTTATGTCCATAGTTTCCCACTTAATGTTTGACATTTTGGGAGTTGTTGATAGGTGGATTTTGTTAACGTTGGGCAGAGCCAGGCTAGCTGTATCCCCGTTTCCAGTCTTTATGCTAAACTAAGCTAACCAGTCGCTGGCTGTAACTTAAAATTTAACTGACAAATATATGAGGGTGGTATCAATCTTCTCATCTAATTGTTGGCAAGAAAGCCAATAAGCATATTTTCCAAAATGTTAAACTATTCCTTTAAGAGTAGCACTTGTTACCTAACCACTTGTTAAATACAGGAATACCAGAAGGAATTTCCAGATATTCCCATTGGATATTCCGGCCACGAGTCTGGGATCAGTATTTCAGTTGCAGCCGTGACTCTGGGGGCAAAGGTCATCGAGCGTCATATAACCTTGGACAAGACTTGGAAAGGAAGTGACCATGCCGCCTCATTGGAGCCATCTGAGCTAACTGAGCTGGTTCGTTCCATCCGACTGGTGGAGAGAGCGATGGGGAGCGGCCTAAAGCAGATATTACCTTGTGAGAAGCCATGCCACGATAAGGTGATTCCCTCTCAACAAGAAAATACACAAAAATATGAGTCTAATACTGTTTTAAATGTTTTGAAGTGACATATTCACTGTTTAGAAAGCTAGAGAACCTTTAAGTAAACATCTGAGCTATTACTTAATTTCTTTCAACATTGTGCCATGAGAGCAATAATAACGTCACTGCCTTTGCTATGTTGTTCCAGCTGGGTAAGTCAGTGGTGGCCAAGGTCAAGATCCCCAGAGGAACTGTTCTGACTCTGGACATGCTGACGGTGAAGGTTGCTGAGCCCATGGGCGTAGCGGCCGAGGACATATTCCAACTGGTTGGCAAAACAGTGACGGAGGAGGTGGAGGAGGATGAGAGCGTCACGCCAGAGGTGGTGGACAGCTACGGCAAGAAGGCCAAGTGCTGAGGATGGAGAGTTTTGAATTGTATAGAAAAGGCACTTAATTTAAAAAGTGGAGATTTAGGGGGGTAATTATAAAAGGAGCCTTATATGAGATTACGAGATTTTGTAGTTTTGTTTGGTGCTGCTGAGATTTCTGACACTGAAGTCATGGATGGTCAGTAAGTTGTTGCATAATTGGACAGAGCATTAGATTGATGGTTTGAAGATATCTTAGCTAGTGTTCAACAGATTACTCCTTTTCTCAAATAAGTAAGTAGTTCTCCTTTGCCAAAGTAGTTTTAATTTTCAAAACTCCGCCTTAATGTAATACACTTGGCAAACAGCCACTTAAATAAACCCACCATTATCTTACTAAGGGCTCAGAAGAAGTTTTAGTGCTGTGGTTGGTACTAGTGCAGTGCTTTTAAAGGTGGCACAAAAGCCAGTTGTTACTGTTAACTAAACATCCTTTGCACTATAGTTTTAGCCTGTACTGTAGAGATTAAATGAATATTGAACACATGAAGCTGCTACTATTCATCTCATCACACCACAGTGGGATCCTGGTCCCTATTTGCCAAACAGTCAGTGGACTCTTCATGTACCTTTGAGCTGTCACGATTGTCAACTGGTGCCAGAAATATCA